AGATGTCGATTTCAACGAGAACGGCAATAATGTATTACTGTACAGTGATATCAATAATTTCAACAGTTGAAATATTTTTTTTTTATATATATTGGTCCGCTCACAAAAGAAAAAGTCTATAAGCAGTACCATGAGCGGAAGGTAAATAAAGCAGGAAATAAAGTAGGAGGCAGGAAGTTCCAGAGGTAGGCAGTCGCCACCAAAAAGAAGCCCTATATTTAGAGGTCCTCGGGGTAGCCAACTTTACCATATACAGATGGGATGTCTGTGAGGTTCTTGTGCTTGTTAATTAACTTCTCCTAGCTGGAATGTGACTGGCCAGATCTTCAGAAAATCTCCCATGTTAATAGCGATAGAATAACGATAAGTCCGCCACCTTGCGTCTATGTTCGACAGATTGCAATGAATCGGTGAGAGTTGGATTATCGATCATTTTTATTGTTGTCCTTTGTAGGTACAGCATCTAATAGAGCCAAAGATTGCTTGGGATTTTTGAGCGATCGAAGATACGTGGTCATGCCAAGACAAGTTGGTCGATGCGGTCACCACAAGAAGAGATATTGATGAAATATTTTGTCCTAGCGTCCTTAAAACTGGGTTATCGTCGGCAAAAGATTTCTTATTCGAGAATAATGTTGCTTGACATTTAATTGGAAGCATTGAATTTGACTAGGGTGTTAAGGCCCCAGTTGGTAATATGGTGTCAAGATCACTATTGATAGAGTGAATCTGTTCTCGGGCGACACTTGTGGAAGTGGCTACAGTAAGCGGTTTGTCAGAAGAGAAATATGCCATTAAGCTACTATCATCCGCAAAGCTGTATTTGGGATTTCTTGTCACATTCAACAAATCATTTATAAAAATGAGAAAGAGTGTTGGGGTCAGAATTGAGCCTTAAGAAAGGCCGGCATTTATAGGTAGTGTATCAGAAGACACATCATCGATGACAACAGACAGTGACTTGCCTCCCAAAAAGCTCCCCAGCTAATGGCAAAAGTCGTTGGAAAGACCATACGATGGAAGTTTGTTGCGGAAGCCTTTGTGCCACACCTAATCAAAATCCTTGGAGATGTCCAATGCTATAATTCTGGATTCGTTATGTTTTTCGAAGTCGAGTTTCAAATGTGACTGACGTATGCCAGCAGATCCCCTATTGATCTTTTAGAATTAAACCCGTACTGTTTGTCAGAGATGAGCTTATTATTGGCTTCGAATTACATTTTGAATTTAATATTGAATTTTGTCTACGAGAAACTTGGATCTCGAGAAAATAAGAAACGGAGATTTTGGATGTCGATTCTGAATATTTACTACCATTCGCTGTGTGTTAGCCCTGACTGAAGAGAAAAAAAGCGATTGAGCGAAATTCCTGTTTGTATTGGTGTCAACTAAAGGAGTGTTTGCTTGAAAGGGGTGAGTAATGTTCCGATGAATAAAAGACTTTGGACCTCTATTACCTTCGGCTCTATTTTCCCAATATTTAGATAGTCTTTCATCTGACGTCGTTTCCTATAAGCCATCTGAATTCCATAGAATTATAGAATAACACACATTTAACATAATAAAAAGCTATTCTCGTATCCTAATGAACAAGTCTACACAACAAGGAGAAACGAAAGACCAAACATGACACTACAAGGGAAACAAAAGTGACTGCTGTTACTAACGCAGCTATAGATACGACTTCCAGAGAAAATACAATGGACTGCAAATACAAAATACCATATGCGATCATTGGCGAGATAAAAAGGCCATCGGATGTCAAAATTAAAAAGCACGGGACAAATACACTGTGTCCGTAAAGTAACAGATAAATTCATTTGAAATTTATGTATTTTTTTTTTTTTTTTGGAAAAACGTTCGGACACCTTGATCTTAATTTTTAGTGGCGCTGTTCTTCAACTAATTTGAATTTATAGAAGGTGACCTAAAAAAGAATATCGCATGACACTTCAATTTTTTAAGTAGAGGATATTCTACTTAAAAAATAGAGAGATAATTCATCTTGATGCGCTCTATGCATATTCATCAAAATATACAGGGCATTCTATTTGAAAATGAAGTGTCACGTGATATCTTTTTTTGGGCCACTTTGTATAAATAAAAATTAGTTTAAAGACAGCGCCACTAAAAATTAAGATTGACGTGTCCCAGTGTTTTTCCAAAAAAAATATGCTTAAATTTTAAATGAATTTATTCGTTACTTTACGGACACGCTGTATGGGTCAGGATAACCAACACAGAATATACTGGTGAATCGCGAAAATGAATGACAAAAACAACGAAGTCAGAAAAGCAGCAAATATGAAAAAAATTATGAACATTTCCAGTAAACCACCAGTAAAATTTCCAAGACGTTGGAAACCAAATTTATCATTATGGTTGATTTCTATTATCATAGCTCATTAACACTAATGTTGCTAATTATAAGAAATCCAGGTAATGGGTAATGGCTTCTAGAAAATTTACGGTCATCTCCAACAACCCTTTCAGTGCATGGTGCAGAAGGTTGGGTACTTAACAAGAGAGCATAGAGAGGCCGGCGCAAAAGAAAGGGAAAGGGAAAGAATCGTTTAAACATGGAAGAACAGGAGAGTGGACCAGAAAGCTGATTCTCAACATAGCCAGGGATGTTTCAGGAAATACGAAAACCGTATAGGAAAGACAAATGCCATATATATTGACGACCCAGAACATACGCTAATAGGATTCCTCAAATGGCTGAGTGAACGAAAAAAGAAAAGTACACAATTGAACATGGATATCGAAGGCCTTACGACAGAAAGGATAATTGAAGGAATGATGGAGATAGAAGGAAACTGGAGGGTGATCCAGGGGGTTCCAAAAGAACTTATGATCAAAAAAGGAAGCGAGTAGCACACAGAGCAAATAGTCCTTGTCAAATGAGCCAAATAGCAGCGACAGTGAAGCATAGGTACTCGCCAAAAGTGATCCCACTGCCATAGCAGCAGAAAGGGGAAAGGATTCAATCTCTCGGCGATACCTTGTAATAGGACGTCAACCCGACACTACCTGGACAACTAAGATTGCCAAGAGCCAAGTCCAGGGTTGCGTTTAGAAATAGCACTCTGGGTGTGAGAGTAACTCTAAACCGTTCATAAATTAACAGGTGCTTACTCGGAGCGTTACGCTCGAATCGTTCAGAAATCGAGAGTTGACGTGCCCAGAGTTCTCTTAAATTACCCCACTGAGGGACTGGGTTGAAAGACGCCCCGCGGTTTTTACATTGAACTTTCACCGCAACGCCCCATTACGTTCAGAAATAGCGCACCCAGAGTGCACTCCATGTCATGACGTCAGAACACTCTGACAAACAACTACTCTACCCTCTCACTCCATTTCTAAACGCACTTCTGGTGTCTGTAAACAGATTGCTAATCCCTGAGAAAAAAAAGTATCAATGATCGGAGGATCATCGGTCATTGTCCATTGATTAACAATGGTTGTAAAAGTTGGAGTAACAATGGATTAAGAATGATAAATATTTATATTACTTTGTATATAAGAAGATAAGCATTGGAAAATGTAGAGAATGAGTCTGGTCGCAGGAATATGGCGAGCCCAAGGAGCATCCGCCGTTGCCAAATGTATCGTTATAGGTTAGAGTGTTGAGCACAATATTACTTCGATTCCTACGATTAAAATCAATTTTTTTGAAAAACAGTTTAAATTTTTTTTGAGTATATAGAAATATAGACAAATAAAATAATAATTCGCGTAATGTTCACAAAAGTAACGTTTATGTTATAAGATTCTTTGTGCTCTTAACACTTTCGTTATACAATGCCAAACCATTTGTCAGTTACTAACGCCATGCCGGACCGGCACAAAGTTGTATAATTTATTATCATTTTCACATTGGACTCACCAGTGTGCGTTTTCAACATGTTTTAATTAATATATCATGTTCTGCTCCAAACTTTTAATTTCACGAGACAAAGTGAAATTGCGCCTTTGTACAAAAATTTCTGAAATGATCGCTATACATATAATTATTTCCAAGGTTCTTCTACTAAAGAAGTACCTACCAAGCTTTTATATTTTTAAAATATTTTTACCCACCCTATTTTTCTTAAATTGAAGAGTGCAATAAATTATGGGAATCCCACAATAAAATAAGGCGATCAAGGGAAATACGTTGCTGGTTTCAATGACTCCAGCATGTTTCATTTTGTGCCTGATATCATTGATATCTTTCAGTAAACAATTAAATTCCTCGCCATCCTTTTATGCAAAAATTTCCCGTAGAATCCAGAATGTCACCTATTATCATCATTTTTTAATTATTGCAGCTTCACCTTTTAACGTATCAACTTGAAAAATTAAATTAATTTTCAAATCCCTTATTCCCTTTATTGGATGAATTCAAGTCGATGAAATTTCATTAATGAAAAACATCAAGAAAATTCTAGCGCTAATTGAATGGCCAACATTAATTCAGAAGAACCGACCGACGACTGAAGACGCCGCCGGCCAAATTACATTTCCGTTTGTTTAAAAATTATGTTTGTGAATAACTCATTTAAAACCTTTGGATATTTTTTTTTATTATAGTCTGCCTTCATTTATTTACTAATTCTTAAAATTTTAAATAAATTTTGAAAGCTTCAAATTGTTCTTACAATTTTGATACTTGCTTCCTATTTTCATTAGTTCTTCGACATGGAAGAATTATTTTTGAGTGGGAAAACCCCCTCTCTAATGTCGCCTGATAATATAGAAAACCCGACACCATTTCTCTTCCTTTTTTACTTTTTAGATCCATTACCCTTGGCTTATAAAATGTTTTCATGTCTCAAGACAAATTGGACCGACATTTTAGCGTATATATAATGCAGTGCTTGAGCCCAGAAAGACGTGCCGAGAATTTATCTATTCTTTTTGATTGCTGTCAGCTGCAAACTTATTTCAGTTTATATCACAGTTACTACTTATGCAATTGAAATTTTATAGTTAGTCTATCCATAATGTATTCTTACCTTAAAGGGTCTTTGATATGTATATACCTATCTAAAGATATAGCACACAGATTCAATATGCTGGCAGTAGAGCACATGACATCAAATGCTATCCAAGTATCACAAAACTTGCTGCCGAATATCCAGTAGCCAAGTAGGTCGTTTACGCCTGCAAAGGTCATAACCTAGAAACAAAAAATCAAAAAATTCGAAATTTGGTTCATTGCGAATTGAATTGGTTGACTGTTTCAAGCCAGATCAAAAAATAGAGGCTACTATATCTACTTTTTGCAATCAAGCATTTGCCGAAGATCATGCTAAGTCAAAGAGTCTTTTAGTAAAATATTCAGTCTAATTAACTGAATGCGATTCGAAATTAAATGCAAAACATGCTTTGAATTTGAAGGCAACTTTTGAAAAAGGTAGGTAATTATATGCACAACAGAGGAAATAATTAACTTAATAATTATATAGATGAAGTAAGAAGAATTTCTCATTTGCATTTATGTGTTTACTTGATACTTGAAAAGCTCGAATTTGTATTTACGAGGGGCAGAATAGTATCCAGTTCATACAATAAAATGAAAACATTTTACAAACAAAATATGACCGCGTATAATCAAAATTACGTAGCAAGGTGGACGATTTTAGAGTGGGTTTAAGATTTGCGCAAACGGAAATTTTCTCTAAGCGGAATTTGTGAGTCGCTCAAATAAAAGTATAGGTATAACATACATGCACGAGCAAAATGAAAGTAATAAACTTAGCAGGTTTTCTTAGAACCTAATGCCGCCATCTAAATACAGGCAGTCGAATGAATAAAGATAGCCTTCTGAAATGTCTGTGTGCTGTCAACTTATGATACTAGTTAGAATTAGAATTAATGACTATAATGATAATGAATGACCAAGAGCTACATCAAAGACTGGGTTCGTAAAGAACATCGATACTTGTCGCAGCAGGAATGATGTAACAAACTGCAGACCTATCAGCATCCTAACTGCAATTCCTAAATTATTTGAGCAGTGCGTTGAAAATATTCTTTCAAAAATATTTTATCAGATTGTGATCAGTCAACAGCATGGGTCTACAGCTTGTAGATCTGGTGACACGAACCTTTTTCTCTTTACAAATGTTATATGATAACAATGCAGAAACTCATGCCATATATACTGACTTCAGTAAAGCCTTTGATAAGGTAAACCATAACATCCTTCTTTCAAAGCTCTCAAGTTATGGCGTTTCTGGACCCTTACTTTCATGGATGAAATTTTTTCTTACTAACAGAATGCAATAAGTCAAGATCGATGGGTATCTTCCTTCTCTTTTCCATGCATCCAAGGCTCTCACTTGGGCCGCCTTATATTCACCTTATTTATCAATGATTGAGGATCGTTGTTCTCCCGAAATTTTTCACTCTTCGCTGATGACTTGAAGTTGTATCGTCAGGTGACGTCAGCTCAAGACATACTTATTCTGCAAAACGATCTAAACATTGTTTATGATTGGTGTAAGCTTAATAACATGTTCCTCAACATTGATAAATGTTGTATAAGATTCAGTAGACTCACCCGTAAGGTTCCATTTCAGTATTGTTTAGGTTATGTTCGCTTGTCTGAAGTGTCTGTCATTAAAAATCTTGGTGTCTATCTAGATACTAGGTTAATGTTCACCAAGCATTTTGAAGTGGTAATTGGCAGGGCTGATAAAATTTTGTATACGCCCCATCAAAATTCTTTACACAACACTGGTCAGATCCGTTCTTGAATTTTCTTGCACAGTTTGGTCTCCATCAGATCTACATCATAAAGCTTGAGAGTGCTCAACATAAATTTATCAAGTTTGCTAGGTACAAACTGTCTCTGAGTGGTGTGATTCTCAACGTTGACCTGACTAAGACTTACTTGGACTTAATCTTGTTGGCAGAAGGAAATACTTTGATGTCTGTTTTGCTTTTAATATCGTTTACAACTACATAAAAAGCCACGAATGTTTTGGATGCTTTTATCTACACACTCAAAGTTATGGAAGTAAATCTTTACTGCACATTTCTTACTTTCGTACTTAGTACTCACTATTCAGTCCTATTAATAGAATATCTGTCAATGTACCTAAATAAGCTCTATGAGTGTCTTGACTTCTTTAGTTTCTCTCAAGATAAATTCAAGATGCGGCCCAAGAGAATTGTTTTAGGTTACATTTTTAGTTTATTTTAGATTTGAGCTTTGTACAACTTCAAATGTATGTATACTCAACAACCTCCAGGCAGAATCATGGTAGCAAGTTCATCAACCAAGCATGTAGACAAAGAGCCGCCAAAATGCTACAAATGATTATAAATTATAGCGGGCCTTATGACAGGTCACACACCAGTTAAGGTCCACCTGAACAGGATGAACCTGTATGACGGAGACCTCAACTGAAATGAGGAACCCGAGACAGCCACACACATCCTGGTAAACTGCGAGGCACTGGATCGCAGAAGACACAGCATTTTCGGGCAACCAAACGTAGTCCCGGATACAATAATGAAATACTACCCAGTGAAACACCTGCACTCTGCACAACCTTGCACAGGGCACTAAAATGCTAGAGAGGTTGAATTGAAGCAAACAGACTAAGAACAATAAGCCCTCTCAGCCTTCAGTGCTACATGGTGACAATAAGCCGGACAGGCCTGATAAAGAGAAAAAAAAATGATGATGATGATGATGACGTTAAGGAATGAGTGGCACCTAAACTTTAACCAAGTGTCGTTACCAGAGCTCATCTCTTCGGTACCAGAACCAACAGCACAAACCAAAGCAGTTGTTCTATGTTTTTTTTTTTTAAATTTTAGTCCCATAACATGTTTTACCCTTCATGCTGTCACATGGCTGTCTGCTGAAGCTTTTCCAAAAACATATCTCTTCCTTTTTAAATCTGTCAAGCTGCCCTGAGCTACATTTAAAATAATCTTTAAGCATTCTTCCGCTTTCAACTGTGTCATTTGGCCATTGATTTTTTCTCTCGGAAATTTTTTGAACATTTGTTAACCTTTTCATGTGAAGACGAGTACATATCATCATTAATTTTCCAGTAACATGTTATATCTTCTAATTAGCTTTATCAGGTAGGATGGAACGTGACAACGAACAGGAAATTGGAAATAGAAGCATGCAGTGCATATTTTTGTGCCATGTTATTTAGGAGCCTATTATAGGAGTACGAATGGAAAACGTTTTTCACTACAATAAAAGTGTGAGTGTAATTTTGTTAATCCCATTATCGGGATAGAGTTACCATAACAACGTTGGAGGGTTTAGAGGCGTGCCGGATGTAGGAATTTGTTTGATGAAGAATATTATTGCGTTTGAACTTTTGGGAGAGGTAGGGAAAACATTAAAATTTAGCCTAAAAAAGATACTTTTTGGGACAAGCAGCTCAAATGAAGACTGGTTTTGATTTTTATTGAGATGATAGTATTTTTATGCCTGCCAAAAACTTTTCAAGAATCTACAAACACTCATTCGCTGACGATTTTTGAGCCCATTGTTTGTAATACATAGAAAGAAATAACATACAGCTGCAGATTTTGGATGCATCAATATCCTTTAAGCGCTGCTCAATTTTCATAAAACTACACATTTTCATTTCTCAAATAATTCTGTTAGGCCATCAAATTTGAACCACTCTGTATATATAGTACTAAGGTCTAAGAAAACGCAAGTTTGTTGCTTTTATTTTGATTGTGCTATTACATATCAAGTCTAAGCTATTTTCAAGTTTCAAGTCAGATTTTTTCTGCTGCTTATTATGGGTCTAACTCTTTCCAACAAAATTTCTACCTGGAATCCCCTTTCATCCCCCTGAATGTCGTTTTCTATCGTTTTTCCGAAACGTTGCGCTTCCGGTACGTTTTACAAAAAAACACCTTTGAAGTAAATTAAGGGTATTGGATGCGCCTCAATGCCAAAATATTTTTTCCTGCGCGAAGCACCTAACGCAGTCTATCATTGTATTCTTCCGCTCCGATTAATACTCCTTAGTGGGAATGAGATGAATGAAACAAGGAATGCATTGCATTCTTAATTTCAACCTAATTTTTTAACAATTGAAGTTATATCAACTTTCTTTTTTGCATTCGATTAATAATATAGGGACGAATGGCGCTATCTTTTTAGAAATTCGATACTTAATAGAAACAAGTTCTCGAAAAATTACAAAAACGTAATTTAAACTGAAAAAAAAAACAAGAAAATTAATCAATTTATGGTGTTTTTTTTAGTTACCGCTATTCTTATGTGTGTTAGCAATACAATGGCGCAAACCAGAATTCCAAAAATTATCTAGTTTTTTTTTGTAGAAATTTAATAGATTCTTCTTGTCATTTTGTCTATCTCTGTTATGCCTGCAGCAAACCCCATGGCTCTTTCCTCCGCCTGTTTTTCTATACATTTTAAATCGCCGTGATGAAGGATCCAGTGCCGACCGGCTCAACAGTAGCCCAATGCAATGATCGCGATGAACCTCGCGTCTTTATTAGTATTAACTTATTGGGTAGTTGTATAGTTCGACGTGCATTACAATATATTTTAAACGGCGCATTCAATACCCTTAAAGAGGACTAAATTCTCTACAATTTATCCAGGAACGGCATATGTCTGTCACCTACTCTTCAGCCGGGGTGGCGTTAAGTTAAAAGATTTTTTTTTACTTAACTGTAAAGCAATTTCACCGCAAACCGTGCAGCACATACTCATTAATAATAGGCCGATTTTTTGGTATATGTTTTAATTATAAACAGTTATCGGTTTATGTTATACAGGGTGTTGAAATTTAAACCACCTCATGTCATCTGAAGGGCTAATGCTCGGCTGTTCAAATTTTCAGTGATTATTGATGTAGGAATGATATTTAAAAATTAGTATGATGCAACCCCATTTTCTACCTGAAACCACCCAATAAAAAAGTAAAATTTGAGAAAAAAAACAATTTGTTCCAACTTTAGAGCGTCATCTTGGCTAAAGGGTACGTGATAGACATATGCTGTCTCTGGATAAATTGTAGAGTATAATTTACTAGGGAGGTATTTTTTTGTGAAACGTGCCAGAAGGGCTACGTATAGGAAAAATCACAAAATACTATCTGGGAGAAAAAATTCAATATTGCATTTTCAAGGTGTAATGAATACCTGAAACTGGGTCTTGATGAGAAAACAATTCACTCAATATTCGAAAGTGCATAATCAAAATAAAAGTAGCAAGCCAAGCCCGATTTCGGAAAGAAACAAAAACAATCCAAAATAAAAACAAAATCTCTACCTTTGGGGGCATGCAATAAACATAGAAAGGTTTGTTACCAACGAGGCCACAAATAGGTCCGCTATCGCCAGCGATGCAAGAAAAAGGTTTCCTATCCTCCGCAGGCCTCGGTCCGTGTAAATTGCTATACAGACTAGAATATTTCCCGCCACCGATAGGAATATCAATAGGGATAGAAATACTCCTGAAACAAAATGAAACTATAAATTTGAATACTGAAAACATAGCAGGCGGTCTTGAAATTTTAAAAAGTCAAAGCAGCTGCAAGCTCAAAAAAAAAACAATACATTTTATAATAAAAGTTTCAATTTATCCTGCAAAAATCAAAAGCCAGAATTGAATTTATATTAAATTTAAATTGTAAATTGAAGAACCAATTATTTTCCATAATGCATCAGAAATATTTTAATTTCATTTGATTTGATGTAAATTTTGGATCTTGGTCAAAATCTCCCATACCTCTATCAGGAGACGTGCTTTAGAAAATTGATTTGACTAAGGTAAACGTAGTAGATTAAGCGTTTTTCTTTGATGTAAGGTATTACAGAAGTCGTGAAAGAAAATGTCGACTTTTAAATTTAACATTTTTAAGAGCGGAAAAACGTTTCAATTTTAATTGGATTGCTGTAGGTTCAAACGATCTATGAAATTCGAGTTATAGAAATCGTTTAACGACAAATGGAAAAAGCTATGAGGCTTGATTGAAATTAAATCATTCGTGAAATGCAACTCGTACAATTATTTAGAATGTTTTATTATATGCGATTTACTTTTGGAAAAATATCAATTCAACATATAACACACAAAAGCAGCAAACAACATTATGGTTACTCAACATTTCTTGATAATTTCACATCATTACTTGAGATAGGTACATACTCTTTCGTTACCCTCCTCCTGCTTAACCCGATCTAAGTTTTCTCATAGCTGACACGCTTCTTAAAGACCTGTGATAATTTTCTAGTGGAAAAAAACACTGTATTGTATATTATATTACAATACATCAACCATAAAATTTCAAAGAAAAACATTAACATTTTAGAAACTAGTACAAGGACATCCTCTAAAACCAGTTTTTTTTTAAAAAGTTCCCTGAAGATAAAAAGACCGTTCAAGTACGTGGCTCTCGAAACAACGAATTACCATAATAATTGCTGCTGAGGGACACTTTTTTATTGCTTTTTTTTGTGTTTTGGGATAAAACATTGAGAAAGCACAAGATAAAAGAAGTTTCAACGTGGAAAGTTCAATACCTAAGTCAAACCTGGCCAATTTTAAATTTTTGTCTGCCAATTTGTTTTTTTTTTTTTAACACTTACCTACTAGAAGAATTGACATCATAGTGACAGTATCCTTATCCGATATTTCTCTTTCCACGTAAGTGTCATTGTTAATTATCTGAAAAATGAAGAATTCAAATTTAAGACTGGAGAATATAAAAAAAAAGTGAAAAATAGTTAATAAACGAGCTGATCCTTTCAAGCATGGCAAAACGGCAGAGCTCGCGAACGCTATGTTAATAATGAACTTCTTCCTTGACTTTGTTTACATAGCGCTGGCGTGCTTTTAAACTGGTAAAATTTTCAAAGTTACGTTAAGGTAAGCGCTGAATTAAGGCTCAATTTTACAATGTGCTTTAAAGCTTGATGTTTTAGTTGCAGGCACTTCCTTAAAATTATAAATACTTACGAAACACATTAAAAATGAAATGCATAAGCTTTTAAGAATATTGCTTCCATAATATGCATTAAAAAGTGGGAAATATTTTTCGCCTCAATTTATGTAAGGTTACTTTGTGATTTTAGTTAATGAGTGATATATATTTTAATACAATTGTAAAATCTCCCAAGGAAAAATTTAATGGCTATTAATTAATATGCCAGTGATAACCTTAAATTTTTCGACACAGGCTTGTTATACCCGAAATGTTTATGGAATGTTATTTATTATAAAACAACCCAAAGCAATTTTTGTATTTTATCATAATCAAAATCCAAATGAATTTTATATATTTTTTTTTTGCTTAGGAAATTATTTTAATAAATTTGAAAAGCAATTTCAGGTACGATTATTGAAATACTTGGAAACATTTTCCATTAATATATATGGCAATTTAGAAAATCGATTTACAAAATATTAAATATTATACAGTCGTAGGGACATAACTTGGAGACATATTATGATATCCAGAATTTTCGTTTTGAATGAAATTGATATGGATGATTATGCGATAAGCCTAGTTCTGTTCACTTTTTTTTTTTTAATATGGGCACCCGTTGCTACTGCTGGCTATTGGACAATTGGAAATATTTCTATCTTCATTTTGCTGATGAGTTTTAAAATAAATAATTTTTGCCAATAGGCAGTTCATCCATTCATGTTGTCCTACTATTACGCCGCCATTAAAAAAAAAAAATTGTCTAGTGTTGTAACATTCGAAATGTCACAAAAATATATTTATTGTTGTTAATAATTCTCATATATTTTGGTCTTATGTAAAAGTACTATTTCGTACACCTAACGACATCTATGATTCTTCTGACTAGTTTTCCTAACCTAATATCGAGAATTCTGTTGTTTCCGAGCCACCTGTAAAGCTGTCATTTTTATGATTTTGACAGGCTTGACAGAAAAAGAAAGAAAAGACAACCAATTTTGGTACTTTTGACTTGCCCTCTTCTCTTTTGTTTTGGGACCGAACAGGTCGTCCAGATTTTTAGAAGTGATTAAAAATCCTAAAACTCTACCTTTATCTTTGGCCATAGAGTCAATATTCTTACCGAATAACTAGCCACAAGAGTGCTCGCTCGTGTCCACTAGAAAGTTGCCTGGAAAATCAACCGATTGTTGATTTTTGTGAAGATTTTTGAAAGTGAGGTTACTATCGGCCGTTGAGGTATGTAAATTTCTTTTTCTCTCTGATGAATGAGTTCTTATATCCCCTCAATTCATTCAGGCACCTTCGGCAGGACGAAAAATCCGCGACTGCACTTCTCCAAGTGAAAATTGACAAATTTGAGACCACGCTGTCCTGAAACTCTGAAACTCAGAGTAAATAAATCTGGGCCTCCTTTTCGAGGAAAGTTGGTGTCCTGTAAGAAGTTGATCCCCAACCATTATTTGGTTGTCTCCAGCTAGTTTGGTACCTCCAGAGCTCAAATTTGTGAAAGCTTCCGAGTCTTTACAAGGATTCCGTCCAGGCTTGTATAATTACTTACCTATGGGTGTCTTAAACGTGCCATCTTAATTACCGTAACTTATTTTGACCTTTTCTTTATCGCCCCCTTTCGTTTAGCTTTATTAGCTAATTAATATCTTTGTAAATTCAATTACCGACTTAATTGTTTACCGTATAGTAGTGTTTAGCTAGAATAGCTAACTAATGTTTAAATAGAATTATTAATTTAATTAAATAATTATTATCAGAGTCAAATATTGGCTCTTATTATCGTTTTCTCTATCATTATTTATTATCCAATAAGTATACATTATTATAATTATTATACATTTATTTCCGTAATATCGAGTACTGATCGATATAATATATTGTGGATTCATTAACCTTTAAAAGGTTTATTTAACTTTTAATTTCAAATCAATAATGTGGTAGTTTTATAAGGTAAACTAATGTAAAATCTTTAGGAAGTCAAATTTAAGTTTTATGTTTACCTATTTTGAACTTTAAAGGTAAGGTAAGGTTGAGCTCTTCCGGAAACCCTGACCCCTTGATTACACCTAGCAGGTTTTTGATATTTAAAACTGCCTAGGGATTATTTATTACCTTTCCGCATTGATGATTTTTTTATTGATTTGATTGACTTACAGTCAAAAATTAAATGTTATTTTTATTTTGACTTCAACACTTACACTTAGGTAATTCTCACCGTAGGTATCTATTTAATTGTTTTTAAATTTCAATCTTTTTATATACCTATTTAAATTAAGTTTTGCTTCCAGTAAGCTGCTTAATTTTTTTTTTAATAAAATTGGATAGTGAACAATAATCACCTTTAAACAATTTATTTGTTTCAATGTTAATCAACAAGTTCGCCATCCGGTCAATAAATTATTGTTTTTAGAATTCCAAAACTCGTGTTTTTATTATAGAAATAACAAATAAAATCATTAAATAAATAAAACGTTTTAAATTTTTTTCGTGTATTGAAGGGGTTAAATGTTAGATAGGTATTGGATTTGTTTTACCTTTTCAGATTTTTGTATTTATCTTTTTAAATAATAGCTAATTATTTGAATAGTGTCTAGTTTGGCTATTCATTGATAATCAAAATCATTTTATACAAATTAGTGGCGGCCTCTATTTACTGTACCAACACCAAGGACCACCCCAAGCTAAAGAACCACTGAGCATAGTCGAGCACAATTATGAGCATTCTTTTGTTCCGACAAAAGAGCGTTACAGTGTATACAAGAAAACTAAATCCTAATTGATTTGAAATTTTTCATTAAAATGCTTAAGATGTTTCATCATTGAAGTAAATATGTACCCACCTAACTTTTTTTCATTATTTGTGAATGATTTTAGTGCTAGTTCCCTTACATTCTCTGCAAGCGATCATTCAAGCAACTCCATTTTTCTCAATCACTATTGTACTTCTTCATTATGTAACTTAAAACCAATGTACCGAAAAGAATCTGGGATAACAAAAGTATCATTGTATCAGCGTTGAAAAATATGGCATTGCCGATTGTGTAATTCAATTTTCTATCGAAAAATTTTATAATATACCATAAAATATGTTGCTGATTCTAAAGCTCTGAAGTGAACGTGGTAAAATTAGACCAAACATGTAGAAGTGGCACAAAAAGTTACCTAGCTGCAACTTGTTTAATAAAATTAGGTTGGTAAACTTTATCGCGCATAAAATGTCCTTTCAGCATTAATTTAATTACTTCTAGATGAAGGTTTTTGTTTCTTGTATGTCTATAGCGTTTCTCCATTTTATTTCATTATTATTACCATAATGTTGAGCGCTAATTTCTAGAACAGTGGAAGACAGTAACAGGCCGCGAACAAAGCCAAACAAAATAAATACATTACTTAAAGATAACGATGATAAATTATTATTCCGAAATTTCCGCGATACTTTAAAATTAAATTAGTTGCCTAATTGCTCGCTTCGAAGCTGTTCTGAACGTTTTAATAACTACTACAGTGTTTTATTAATCTAATCCATAAGCAATCCTTTCGAAATTGACTAGAAATTGTTATGCAGATTCTCAGATTTGTATTAGAATAGGTACTATTGAATTTGTGTTGTAATTTGTTTTGCCTCCATTGTTCCCAGTTTCTGTGAATAAATATTAAGTAATTCGGAAATGTTCATTCTATCATGCTTCTACTTGTTTCGGTGGTTTGAACAGGACCTTCCATTACCACTTTCTCCAACTGGAAACATCAGTATACAGAGAACTAGATACGTGCTCGCGAAGAAAATCTACAAAATAGAACCAAAGATTTGAGAATGGAAAGAACTTGGTAATAAAATAGATAAAAACAACGTGGATACCGCGAGACCTGTAGCAATTTTACAATAAAATAGCTTGAAATTTTCAGGTTTTTCTCTTGCATTTTCTATACACTACCAGGAAACCGATAAAATGCGATTATGTCAAAGACTCAATAATAGGAACCACAAAACACTTACAAACCATCAAAATAAAACTCAACAGAAATACGCAATATTTTGCATGAGCCTCCAGCAAATTGCTTTCAATGTTTTTACACATGGCAGAAGTTTTGTTTCAATTGAAATGTAATAAACGTGTCCAGTTATGCGTCCATTATCGATGCAAACATTCAATTTGTCGCAAAATTTTACCGCCACTCATAAAATTTGTAGGTATATGTACCTATGTCACTGAATATTTATGATAATGGCTCGAAATTATAAAACAGTTTCTATTGGTGCGCAAAAGGAAAATACGATTCCAATAATGAAATATTATTTATGTTCCCAATGGAATTTATTAGCTTTTAGCCATTTTTAATTATTTCAGTATAGGCCTTTCATGCCATCATCATCAAAAATATTTTACTGAGAATGTGCGATCCAGTTTATACCTGTACTAATGGATTTTGAAAGCATTTAATTTGATTTTTTTCTCAGTTTTACTACCTTTGTTCTATTTTTTTTACTATTTTCTTTCATGCATAACTCTATTCATGATCAAGAATAATTTTTGCTTTCCATTATATTCAGGACTGCTTATTCAAAACCTAGCTTAAGTTAACTTATTCAGATATTTATATATTGTGGCGCTTTCGCCAGCATGTACAGAATTCAAACCTGAAAATCTAGCCTTGTTCACGAAAGGACATTATCGCGTTTATTCTGGATTTTACAAGAAAAAATTACGAATATATAAAGGCCGGTATTA